TATTTGTGGCGCCCAGAGTTGGTACACGTGTCGACGGTAATTTGCACGTCAGATCTAAATTTTCATAAAGTCATGACCCTGCCTCGACAACGACCTACGCCGGCAAGGCAGAGGTTACCCTGCTTCTCCACCCGCAATTCGCGTTGGTATCGTGGCAGATGCGAAAAGTTACCGAAGTTTACAAAAATTGTTTAATTTAATGAATTAAAATATATTTCAAGGCTTAAAACGCCTCACTTGCAACCTTTTGTTCCTAAAAACGACAAAAATACAAAGACAAAGTGTATATAAACTGAAATAATACTATTATCATTTCTCTCTAATTAAAGTAATAAATAAAATAACCCCAACTATTAGAAAATTAAATTTTGATTTTCTCCCTTAAATATTAAAATTTTTTGAACTTAAACAATAAACATTATTTTTATTATACAAATAATTATGTAAGTGGTGATGAAAAAAGTAGAACCAAACAAATGGATGAAATGTGTTCTCTGTTAGAAGTTTATATGCGCATTGATTCCTGATTATCCTTAAGGATGAAATATCAGTCGGATTCCTGCTGTATATCTTATACCCATATTCGTTCCATGTGCGAGTAGCGTAGGTCGTCGAATCGCGGAAGAGAACCAGAGCTGACAGGGGGTAAACCCGAAGCGTATAACGCGCCCGCTATAAGGAATCATCGTATTTCTTCACATCTTCCTTTTCTCTGTTCCCATCGTTTTTGCGTTATTTTTCTCTCGCCGATTCGAAACTTTTTTTGCGTTTATTTCTTCCTATTTTGACTCACCTAACCTATACTTCCATCTATATATAAAATGGTACATTTACGCGTCGGGTGTATATATCGCGGGGGCGAATTTTTACGACGCAACCTTGCACTCACGCTATGGGATGGCATATATTGATTAAAGATATAGGAGGTAGGTGGATATATACTCCGGCACCACAACGCAGCAACAAAGTAGCAAATACTCGACCAAATGTAGAAGGCAATAACGTCTTCCGTAACCGAAAGAACGGGTTTTATCTAGATATATAAACCTTAGGCTGATACAGAGTGTCTTAATATAGATTTGTTTGCTTTAAGAAAACAATTTGGCTGCACTGGATGGATTTATGCGAACGCTCAATGTATGGATTCCTGTGTTGGTGTGTTTGTATGTGAAAATAGCAACACCGCCTAAAGTGCGAGAAAAATTGAGTCTGAGTCGTCTTCCTTTACGGAAGAAGCTCATCCCCTGCTTGGAAATGTTTAGCACCATTTTAGGTAATATTCTTTCGGGTGTTAAACCCACGTACAACGCATCGCAAAAGGTAAATCTATCGCAAACGCGTAGCGGGACAAATGCCCTGCCAAGTGGTACCAGCACTACGCTTCGCTTGCTTTTCGAACAAATTCAATTTAGTGGATTCCCTCAACTTTTTTTCGCCGCCAAATATATTTTTAAACTGTAGCAAAAGTTGAATTTATTAATCATCGTGTGATTTAAGGAATTCTCATTTGCATGCCTATTCTAAAAGCGCTAACAACTCGAAGGAATGAAATAAATCAAAAAGTTTTCGAGTCGTTTGTCGTAGGTGTGTGGTTAGCGTTACCCATCTATTCCGGTACCGCTTATATGCAAACAGCTTTCCAACACCTTGGTCGGTAAGTTTTCTAACAATCTTCGAAAGTCTCTGGACCATAAGCGATCGAGCAACTTGTGGAATATTCAGGGATATTGAACGCATCACTATACTCGTATAGGTAATTCTTAAGGAAATCGTTGAATCTTGCCGGCTGTGGCCAAGAGTACGAACGCGACTGGAAAGTGAAGCAAATTTCTTGTTTTATCGCACTCATAGGCGACGCTGCCGCTGTTACTGCCGTCGGCTAGACGGCTTCCTTTTCTTAAACGAACTAATTACATTAAGCGCCCGAACGTGGCCCGCTTTCCACCCGCTAATAATGCTTAATTTCCTAATTGCTCGTTATCGTCTTCGGAGAATCTCTCACTGGCTGGGAATCACATGCGCGCGGAAAAAGAGAAGGAGCGAGAAAACTCCCGTCAGACAAGATACAATCTTCGGAGGCAATTAAAACCGCGACCAATTTTAATTTACGTCAGTCATATCGATTATAATCCTACAAGTATTGAACATTTTTCTGCAATTATAATTTCAAAAATCACCTACGTCATTCCGCCAAAATATACCAAATAATTTGTGATTGTGAATCAAATTTTCGCATGTCGTTAAATTTTGTTCGCCGCCAATTTTGCAAACAAATTAAGGTTCGCATTTGCACTCTTTGCTTTTCATCGGCATTCACCGTTTGTATTTCAATAATACGCATGAATAAATTCGGATTTGCACGGGCTGCGTACACGTCTGCGTAGAATTGGCAACATCACAGTCGAAATGTAGAACGCGCATAACATGCAATGATAGTTTTTTTGCGAGGTGCCATGTTTTTGCGCATAGTCTCATACACTCAAAATGCCATTGGTCATTGATATTCGACTTTGTGCTGTCGACGCAGTGTAGATTTTTGAATGAAAAAAAAAACAGACACATGCGCTTGTTCAAAGCGCGAAAAAAATTGCTCTTTCGATTCAAACAAACACTGAACGAATTTTTTTTTAATTTGCACTGCGTTTTTTTTTCTATTCAGTGAGCTTTGTTATTAATTCAATATTCACCATCACCGTGCGTATTTCTGTAATCTCGTTAAAACGCATCTTCGCCATTGTAATAAAAGGGCGCACACAATTTGATATAACAAAATGTTCCAGGAAACAAAAACATCTAGCGCAGCTTTGGTATGTGTTGTGGCGTTTATTTATACGCAGCAATAGAAGAATAACAACACGCGGAAACAGAGTAAAATACAGAATACGAAAATAAAAATCTCTCAACGGTAATAAAAGACTACAGCGCGCCTTTAAGCATATCTTTTATTCTTCACCTGGAATTTCATACTTTTTTACCTCGGCGTATTCCTATCTCTGTTCACATTTTTCAACAATGAAATTAGGTGATACTGAAAATAAGCTATAACATATTTTGCCCATAGTACAAAACACTATTTCATTATCAATCAATTTTAAATCAAATTACCATATTAATCATTTAAAAAGGCTTGCATCATTGTTAATTTGAGGCAATTTTATCAATTGAAGAGCATGCTCTAAACCAATTCACAATATCTTTTCTTGGCCTTGAATTTATCAATAGCCATAAAATAACAATAATACATCTAAAAAAGTCAGCGTAAAAACATGCTAAGATATAAATTTTCCTATTCTCCTCGCACTATACCATTATATTTGTCGCCGGGCGTTGCAGCAATTCCTGCCGTTGCCCTTGCAGACCTTCCTGACCCAACTCCCGCACGTTCTCCAAGGTTGGTCGTCCAACTATTAGCCGAAACAGCAATAAAAAGCGCGAGAGTCGTTAAACGTGACTCGATTTTCCTAACATCCATTGCACGTATATATTCGCATTCCACCAGCAGTGCGATCTTGTCTATGCACGATTTTTACGATTTTCACAAGCGATTTTCCCGATTTTATGCGAACTGCAAACCTGAATTCGTATTTTTTGCAATGGCCGTCAAAAGTTAATAATAGTATCAATTTTCACTGTGCTAAAGTGTTATATTTATGATCCACCAAAAAAATCCAGTAAATGAAATAATCAAATTTAATTTTCATTTTATATACTTTGTATATTCAGCAAATACAATGATTATGCACTAGAGACCTAAGACAACAAGACAAACACACATTGTTGAAGCAAATTAAGTTTTTGTAATGCCAAACCTGCCCTCACCTTCAGCCCTTCCCTTCGCCCTAAGTGTACTCAAAAAGCTTCTTGAATTTTCCGCATGTTATAACACGTACACTATGTAAAAACAAGCGCGAAGCGTGGTGTTTGTAGAAAACACAACCTTTCCGCAAATCCTCGAGCTAAAAGAATTCTAGCATGAGAACAAAACCGCATCATATAGAATTAAAAACTCTGTCATTACCCTATAACATGTAAACATGTGTAACTACTTTACTTCTAATGCGAAGACAGCACAGGTAAAACCACGAAACATTTTCCTTGACAGAACCCGATTAAAGCTGACATAGTAAAATTACAAATATGCAAAATGTAACTATAGAGTACATTTGATTGTATGATGTTTTAAAGCAATTAAAAATAAATGTCAGGAAAGTTATTAAGACGCGTCTGATTATGTGTGCACACGCAAAATAAGAGGGTACCGTCGAAAATGGAAAAGGTTGTGAACACGAACGGTTATTATGGCCTATTTATTTTCATTTTCCAATGGAGGCGGGCGGACCGACTTAGAACGACTTGGCATCGGCGTGCCTTCCATGCGAAACACGAGGGCGATGAGACCAACCCTAAAATTACCGGCCGGCGATTATTTTCCAAAAAGATAAAAGGGTTAACGCTCATAAGAAGCGACTTAATGGCAGTAGGCAACGGGGCCGAAGCCGTAACTTAAAATAAGCACATGCCGGTCGTGATAACTAAAATATCAAAACAATTGATTCGGACGAGTGACGCGCATACCATTTTTTCAGTTCGATATTTAATTAAATATGAATTATATATGAATATTAGCTTTTCCCTTTTAAATCAAGAATTAATGCTAAATACAATTATGATTTAATCACGTTTACCCTTAATTTGATTTATGTATTACTTGCACAAAAGAAAAAAAATTAATAACAGCCGAGCGGCTGGAATAAAGTATTAACGTCAATTAGGCTTTTGATTGTAAACACCAATCTGCTTTGCTAAACCCTGAAAAACGAACTGCGCGAATGCGAGCACAAATAACTGCAAATACTATGAGCAAACATTGAGAATTTTAATCAAAAAATGTACATAAGCCGACAGAGAAGTAATTAATTGTAAATATTTAATTTTGTTAATAAATCAAAAAATTAAATGTTGTTTAAAAATTATTTAAACAGTAAGAAATAATTACTTACGAGAATAGTTGTAACAGTCGTCGAATTAATTACGGTATTTATTACGTAATTGAGGCGCAATCAACGCAATTGTCCTTAATTGTGTCTCTTTAGTGCACTAGCTGATTCAATGTTTATATCTATACCACACGGATTGACACTTTGGTTAGCAGCACGTTTCTACTGGCCACCACACTGAAATTTTGCTTTGAAATCAAACAGTTCAAGATACAGACAGTTTTATAATATTTATTAAATTGTGGCCGATAGAAGACGACGAGATATTTTATTTATAAGATAAGTAGGTATGTCATAGAGGCTGTGCTCACGTCGGACAAGAAGCCGTTCGTAAACTGAGGCTGCTACGCCAAAAGCAAAGCGTTTCAGCTGATCGCCGCCACCAACGCCGCCGCCGTTGCCGCCGTCGTTGCTCTTTCGGGACAGTGTACGCTGGAGCAGTATCACTCTCTCGGGCGGTGTGGCGTGCGAAAATGTGTGCGCCGAGCACGCGGCAAATACCGCCGCCCCCGGCCCGCCAATGTGTACATTCCGCTGGTGGTGTACGTATAACGCTCGCGGCGTCGCGACGTCGTCTGTGGTGGTCTACGCAAGCGTACCGACGTCAAAACAAATCGATAGGGCGCCGAATATTTTCACAAACTTTTTTGAATATTTTTTCGTTTGTTTTTGTAGAAACTTTTTGTTAGCAAAATATACTATTCAAACCAATTTACCAAAATGCATATTGTGTTGCCTATGTTGGACAATAAAAAATTAAGTTACCTACAGCGTCGGCGCTTTTTACGCGATTTCAATTTATGAATAAATCAAGCAGAATGTTATTGATAACTCGTTTGTTTCTACATGGCTGAAAGCAATCGTTTGCTTCATACAAGAGCAATTATTGTCAGTGTGGTTCATTTTTCCCTCGCAATGACAAAAACAAAAAACAAACACGGGCGATATTTTGTATAGGGTTTGTGTTGAACTGTGAAAGCAATTATAACCGTATTTAATAAGCGTAATTGGCCATTCCCACTTGCGTTTCGTGTTGAAATGTCCACCGCCACCCTTTGCAAACCTCAGCGTGTAGGTTAATGACCAAAAACTTCCAATAACCATCCGCTGCCCTTCCAAACGCCCGCAAGCCGCCAACTCTGAATGAGCCCGCATTGCGCTGCTCATATTTTTACAAAAGGCCTACCTTTTTCATGCCACTAATTTTTCTATATCCTAAGTTCTACACTTGTTCAAATGCAAGTTTCCGAGCGTGATAAGCAGGCACCTCGTTAGCTGGTTATGAAAGTACGTGCTTAATCATCATTTATTATCTGTTAACGCTGAGCTATTAATCATTTTATAATTTCAAGCCAATAAAAGGTTGGGCAAACACCTTAAAAGTTTTTAAATTGTAGTATTTAGTCAGCTGTTTTAAGAATTAAGATAACATTTATATCTAATGGTAAAGAAATCAACATTAAATTGCAATTCAGCCATTGAAAGAACATATTTCTATCTGACTCCGTAAAATAATTGATATAATGGACTTTGAACTATTGAAAATTTTAATAAGTAAATGCAATGAATCTTTGATATATTATGAAGATTTTTTTTAAATAAGAATACTGTAAAATTTTCCTGAAAAAATATTAATATTTCCTTAACCATTTGATGTATTTTGTCCACGCAGAAGTAAATTCCTAGCCATCGGCACTAATGGATGATAAAATATTAACGACATAATTACCATGTAATAATCGTGTATTTACTCATCTTACCCCCGGAACGACCAAAACAATAGCCTACGCAGACATCCCCCGTTCATTCATTCAGACGGCTAACAATGCTAAATTAGAAATGATATTTTCACCCTTACCCTCACACGTGGCGCGCACAACTCACTCGCTGCTTGCGTTTGCTTAGAGTATTTGCATCGCATGTGCCCGCGCTTGTGATTTCCGTATGTCGTCGTCCTCGAATAACATAAGGAAAACGTACGGATGCTAGACATGTGTGTGTGTGCGAGCTTATTGTCTGCGAATAACGAGGCGCTGCGCTCGAATTCGCATTCGACTAAAAGGGCGGACGTCAGAGGATGAAGGGGATAAGAGAATAAGGAAGTACCGCCGATAGCACGGCGGCACGCCGACCGAGAAAATAGGAAGGGTTCAAAAAGAATAATAGCAACGTATCGTAAAGTATATGCAATCATACAAATACGCACACAATATACCACCCTTACAATGAGTAAAATACAGATGCGTGTTTTTAATGTGAGCTGATGAAGATATCAATATAATATCAACCATCTCCTTTTAAAATTGATGAAATGCAAAATCTACCTAATCATAAAAGAAAAAGCGTGCACCTAACACGTGACTATTATAATTTGTATTATGATTCACAACTAATATTTCAGTTTAGGGGTTGCCCTACACTTTCTGTATACATTTTTTTGTTATCTATAAGACATGATGTGTATTGTTCATAAAGCCCCGAAGTAAGATAACAAAATATCTCCAAGTATCAGTTGGTCAAACTTTTGTTTTGCAAGCGCGGCCATCTTGTACATTTTTTGTTCGCTCAGTTTTAATCTCATTATGAATAGTAAACTTTGAAAGTTTAATTCCAACTTTTTCTCGCAAACTACGCGGGGGTGGAAAGTAATCGGTACTTCTTGCGCTTACTTTGTCCGCCAAGAGTTTTCCCAGACCCCATATTTAATATCAAATACAAAAAAACGTGCTACATCCACAACTTTTATGCACAAGACTTTTCAAAACAACAACAACATTCAAGAAGCAACCACCAACCACCACGGTAGATAAAAATTATAAACGGCAAAATGAAAATGTTCGTAACATCATTTTAAGGTTGATAGGCTAAAAGGCTTTAAGAATTTATCGGTTTTTTAGGCGTGTGCGGTTGTCACTTGCCCGTGGGGTTGAGAGCGGTGGCGGCAAACGATGCTGTAAACATCCAGCAATGCCGACAGCCCGAACCCCTGCGAATGTATCACCGCGGCGCCGGTACAAGTTGCACAACTTTGCCATGAAAAGCAAAGCGATGCCACTGGCGGCAACAGCGATGGCAAAAGCAACCAGTAGGGATTGTTACTCTCGCACCAAACACTTTCCACCTCCTAATGTTAATGCCATCGGCGTTGTGAAATACATCGACGCGGGCGGAAATAAACTTCAGCCCGGGTGCATGCGGATGCGGGTAGTACATACATAGTGGAGAAACCCGGAAAATTATTGCTCTTTTCTAAAGTGCTGTCGCGCGGAGAAGCATATTTCTTTGGTTCCAAACATTTTAAATTTGAATGCCCCAAATGTGGCTAAAAGTATGCAACTAATCACACACTAAGTATAATAATTTGCCTATAACAAAATCACATTTTTCATATTTCTATCACATAAAACTGAATTGTATAGAAAATATCAGTAAACATTCTGATCTGAATATCTGTATTTGATTTATTTTCGTACCCTGCACCCTACACGTCACAGCAGACCATAAACCCTTATAAACACGTCGACGAGTTTTGCATTAACGCATAACCACCATATACGATATTATATTGACTGTGAATTAACGCGCTGCAACTAATGGAATTGGTAAACGCGTTTCACCCCAATATATTCCAACTACCCCGACCTATAAACGCGTGCAATTCTTCGCAAAATCCAAAAGTAATGCCCACATTTCCACATGATTGATAGGTTCCCTTGTGCGGTCGCGAGTAAAGTGCAATCAAGTTGCGTGGTGCAAATACGGGGGAATACATCATGATAATGATAGGCGTTGTGCGCATACGATTTTGAAGTATTTATAGCCTACAAAGAGCGTTGAAAACATGCATGCTTGTTAGGTATTTGTACGAGTACGTACCTTAAGCATAATCTCGAGGAGAAACTACGATTGTTATGCATTTAATAGTCTAACTTCGAGTGCTTGTATGCTACGGCCATAGATTACTAGTCGGTATTTGGTACATCCTCGAATTTTCAATGCAATCGCTGTGTTAGGAGTCATGGCACGCCGGACCGCTGCCTACGTGGATGCAGATAAGATGGATTACAAGCTCGAGAGGCGCTAGATTCGTTTGAAGGATAAATGAATAAACCTCTGGATCAATTCCTCGCATAGTTACATAGTATATAATAATATAGCTTGTTATATAGCTGATATATTCAATTGTTAAAATAATTCGGTTAGGTTTTTCCTTGGATAATTGATAATTTGCAAAACAATTTGTATATTGAGCTAAATTACACCTAGAATAGGAGCAACTTGGTGCAAACTTCCATTTATCAACAAGACTGAGGATAATATGAGTTATGGTCATACGAAGCATTAAGCAACCACCCTCTGAATTTGTGATCATATCCATTCGACCCTGACATTTGTGCAGAGGTCTTTAACTCTCACGAATATCAAAAATAATGAAAATGATGTAATATTCTGCTCTTTTTAAAATTTCCAAGGCTTTGTAGACGTTGGATCCTAAAAGGAATCCTTTGACGCTGAAATTGTATCTTACTCGAAAGCAGCAAAGCCTATGTAATGCATTGCACTCGAGGGTTAATTGGCAGTCGTTCATTAGCGGTGCTAGTGTCGAGCGCTAAAGCACGAGCACGAATAACCCCTTCGATACGACGTTGACTTTGATCACGGTGCATGGCTGGGTTATCGCCGATGACAACCTAGATCCTTTGCCAATTTATTTAATAACGTAAAACATACAATACACCCGCCGTACATACCAGCCAGCGCGCAAACTCAAACGCATGTTTGTGCATCGTGCAAATTTCGATCAAACGAAAGCGCGATCTGCGCTGGACTTGATGAATTATTCACAAGCGGGTCATACCGTGACACGTTGCAATACTGAAATGTTTATCAATACATTTACTGGTTACATGTTGTCAATTCTTTGCTGTGTTATCTTTGTTTGTTGATTTAAACAGCAGCGAAAAAAACATACACGGTGCTTTAGCATTATTTATTTTGTGGACGGTCGGTGCACGTAGAAAATTATTGCCCCTGACATTTTCGACGATTTTTCAATATCTCTTACATCATTTATAACGATCACGCCAATATGAAAATAGGGCGTTGTGCGTTGGCCGGACGCTTAGCGTTTCCGCGTATAGTACCCATTGTGGACCAGCGTTCGACGATAGGTGGGCGGCTTAGCGCGTATGAATCGGGGAATATATCGGCAGGACGCAGCAGGACATTAAAACAACCGTTGATGGTACGAATGTAGTCCTGTATTGCTCACAATGTAAATTTTATTTTTATTTTCAGCTCGGCCCCTCGTACTTGAAAATTGATATTTTATAATGTCTATTGATGATTTTTCATTTTCAAACAAGTCCAAAATATTAATAGCACACAGTGAAATATAGTATTGCTTACACTAATATAGTATAGCTTAACACCAACCAATC